TGCTCAGGATATGTCAAAGTGTGTTGAGTGTTGACTTGCAACGGATAAAATATTCAGGTTAAGTTGCAGATTAGTAAGGCTAATTAAAACCTTCATAAAGCTGGATGACTCTCTAATCCTGATCGTCCACAACGTATCGCAAGTGTCCGTTCTCCATGTGGCCGCCGTTACGTGAATTATTACTACTATGCAAATTAAAGCGTGCCTGCAGATTGATAGATCTCATAACACCTATCAGATTCCACCGACATCATGAGATGTTGTTTCACTCACCAATCACAACACTTAAATATTCCACAAATGGACGATGAAATTATGATTATTATAACCAACCAGTCATAAGAATACGACATTAAATATGATTGCTTGTTATGGTATATATAAGGATGAGGAAAGTCAGTTACCCCGAGAAGATGGTCTACTCTGCATACAGTCACATAACTGTCATCACTCTGTTGGCATTTGCTGCCATAAACGGAGGTAAGTATTTCTTAAAATGATGGTATATTTGTGGTATATTCCTCATGAAATGTTTGCCTTATTCACAGGGACTTTTGAACATTTCGCCGGTCACTTTCATGGATCATTCTCTCTGGTTAAGCCGTTATTCAGCAATAGTCTTTTTGATATGTGCTTTCACCTCAAATGCATCTTGCATGATAGATAATGACCGACAGTGTAATAGCGAAGACATCTTTCACCTTCACTCTGACTCAGAAACTGTGTAGAATAACAGCTGTACAGATGAATGTTTCCTAATTTGTATAGCGTGTTAGTCTAAAATTTCCTAAGATTTAAATTGCCTGAATACACATTCCGAGATTTTGCAATTCTCCACTGTGATAGAATGCATTAAGCGCTCAAGAGCAGTTTGGTGTATTTCAAGTAGAGTAACTATTCTAATGATCTTCATTATTCTGAATCTACTTCTCTGAATAATAATTTTCCTTTACAATTCTTCATTGAAGAGCAAGGAGAACAGGAGGATGATACTTTATCTATGGAAAGCCTTGCCGATGCTGAAAGTAAGTTCATTAGAAATGCATAATATTTGAGTTAATCATTGGACCTGAGAATTTTTCCTGACAATAGCTTACAAATTACGAGAGTCTTACAATGCTCTTTTCTGTGATGATCTTGCTTGATGACTCCAAAAATGATATGATACCATTAAAAACAGGTTGGAGAATGACTGGCACGGAAACACTGACAAAGATAGATTATCGAAGTATGCTGACTGCCTTAACTGATATGCCTTCGGACATCTTCAATGTAACTATTTCAATGTATGTTACTCCCTTGTATTCAGCTATCTTACTTACTTCATGGCAGTTCATACAAGGTGTTCCTGTTTCCCCATAGATAAAACATTAGAAATAATTCCGCATCTGGAATCAGCCGAAGATGCTACACGAGGAATGAAAGGTAAATTAAACTAAAAGCATTATCACCGATAATATTTTTACGTTGACGAAAATATGCCCTGAATTATACTTACGAAGTGATAAGTATGACGACATCAAAACATCATGTTGTCTGGTATGTAACAGATAATGACACACTCGAAATATACGTCTTCAAAAGTTGTAAACATTCAACCCTTACTTTCACATTCCTGTTTTCCTAGAATTGCTTCACAGATTAAATCCAAACTCACGAGTTGAATTAGACAACCGTAAGCAAACCGAATGTATTGGAATTACGAACGATCTATTTTAGATATTGATTGCCTGGAAGCTGCACACACATACAACTGGGGAGTGATAGTATTCGACAGTGAGTTCTAGTAATTTTTCAATTAAAATAAAATTTTATTCACAAAGTTTACTCACTACATTGTGCCTTCATTTATTAAATCAGAAATCAGCATCCTAATACACTCACAATCGATGATATGCTTTCTCATTGACCATTTCAATAATTAACGCCTGCCTGACTGCAGAGTGATAAATGATTGCAAGTTTCTTATTTACAAATTGACCCGATCTACCGTATATACGAACCTCTACTTATCATTCCAAGGTCTTGTAAAACGTCTCCTCCGTTGTAAGTTGAATATATATTGAATCGTTTCTGTACCTGTTCACTTAAATACCATCATAATTATTTCGCATCAATATTCCTGCTAAAAAAATTGACCTTGTGTATATCCTCGAGTTAACGTGTCAACTAGTATTTCATTCATGTCTTTTTATTCGCTAATGTCAAATAAATAGGGAGAATTTCCTCCTTCACAGAACACGAGGAACTGATTGACGACAGATGTTCAACTACCTATTTCTCATTTGGGATACTCATTTACAATATGTAAATCAGTAGACATAATTTTTCGTCTGAATTGTGATTGTGTTTGCGTTAGACATGCATAAATGTGAATAAGCTTTATACTAAAAACGATAGACATGCATTAATGTGTGTGAAACTCATTTATTTGCAGACCGTGATGTGAATCTAGCTGATGTAGTGAATTGTTGCAAAGAAGAGGCCTCTGCATATCGTGGTAAGTAGCATTTTATTACCCCAATCCGTCTGAATTGTTTTTTCCGTGTGGAGTAAAGATTTTCGAAATCCCTATCTCCACATATCTGATGTAAATTTAGCCTAATAGTCAAACTGTTTTGCTACTCTTACTCACCCATTAATAGAAAAAGTGAAGGAATTCCCTTTGAAGAACTGTTTCGAAAACCTGCCTTCAGCGAGTCGCCAAAGTATAAATTTGCTGTTCATTTACATTCATGTTGAAATAAATAACATTTTCACATACATTTACGATGATGGTATATTTTCATCTATCACAATACCTTCATCATGATTTGATTTCATGAACGTCCACTTCTTATACGGTATTCTGTGATGAGCATTTTCAAAGAGTTAAAAATTTATGTCTGAAGGAGGATGAACAAGTCCAGTGTTTAGAATGTTGTCAGTCGTCTACAAATGGAATTGTGCAGATGGTGTGATTGCGAGTAGAAGCACACACTAGAAGACAATTTGTTAACTGTGAAATTGAATGAGTACTGACATAGTGACTTGATGACAGCAGTTTGGACAATGTGAGAAGACATCATGCAAGTAGATGAGTTTGTGGAGTAGTCAACTGATTGAATCTCTGTGCCGATCAGTTTTTTTGGCGTCAGGTAATGCCACGTAGTTTGAATTTGAATGCCAATGAATTACTCTGTGAAATGCATGCTGATAGATATCAGTTTATGAATTATTTCAGATCTGGATGTACTGAATTCAGCAATCAAACAAGTAGCCGAATATAGAGGCGTATATGGCATGAGCATTTGTGAGTTTATTTTCTCTGCATTAATAAACTTTTCAATCAAAAATATGTATATGGGAACACTGTGATGGCAGTGGTAGGAATGAGAGAGTAGTCGGTGCTTCTCTACAGTTAGTTAGCAGACAAACGCAGTTATATGCAACAATTATTTCAATTAAACCATTTAAATAATTCCCAAAATGTTTCATCGTTTCTAGTTCTTGAGAATCTGTACACAACACATATCACCAGAGGTGAGATTTATTTCCCATTATCTTTCCACATTTTATCTTACTAAGATCACCTAGTGGAGTTGCGAATCGAGTTTCAAGTGCACGAGTTGTGAGAGTGTGGAGGATGATGAGTGAGGAAAGTACTACACAGGATTTGTATATCCACTGCAACACTTAGATAGTATGCCCCACCGTCGACTAGGGTCCCACCACTAAGCTCAAATATTGATTCGCGAATGTGTGGTTGAAATTACATCCTCGAGTACGCCCATTCAGTCGAATGGTGAAAGCATCATGAGTGGCGATGTGAGTTGCCGTGTTTTTATGCCCCAACGAATAATGTTATAGCAGTTCTAAATAGATGGTGTCATGAATGCATGAGAAAACACAGGCCAAATTTCAATAATGTCATCAAAGTTATTAAAATTAGCGAATTTCACACGAACGATAGTGAATTATAGAAATGTAGCAACTCGTATGCTCCGACAAACAATGAAGATTGAAATTATCACTCACTGAAAGTATTCAGAATTTGCAGACTCCATGAGTAAGCATACAATTCGCCACCAAGTATTCTTCTCTCCAGTATACATGTTGCTTTATTGTATAACCACTAACATTTCATCCAACTAAACCGATGATTTGAATTTAATCTCATGCAGGACAGTGAAGAGGCGCATCTAGACAAACGTCAACGTCGACATACTACTGATGAATACAAGTAGACTGTAGAAGCTTTCGTAAACATTTCTTTTTTAATTAAATTAAATAAATCATTATTCTGCTACACCGCTTTCTCATTATGAATTCAAGCTTTATTGAACTGCCGACTGTGGTGTGGTGTGGTTAATATTTGAAATCAACGATGAGTAATTTGCAGAAGACTGTCGTCTTCGAAGATGTAGTAATGTCAGATCGGTCATCAAGGGGCTGTTAGGAGACTGATTCCATTCAGTTAAATGTGTATGAGATAATTAAGAGAGGAGAGAGACAGTGTGTGTTGTAATGGCACAAATCGTGCTTTGTGATATTCACACAATTGAACCATGTGGTAGGCACAATTAGATCTACTGTTTTAGTGGCAAACAGAAGCGTGAAGCCATATGCACTTCACCGACTTCAAATCGAATACAATTGAAGCCATTTATTTGAAGGCGGTGACTACGGTTAAGATGTGCAAAGTGTACCGAGTGCAGGTAAAACACGTTTCCATTTGAAATCGAATAAGTGGCCAGATGTTAGGTGATGATTCCAGTAACTAGCAAGGTGATGATGAGTACAATAACTACTCATCACTGACACTATTTAGATAGAACTGAATTAGCAAACACAGAATGTTATCTGAATATGCAAAAGTGTGTCGAATGCGCCTCGGAAACCATTATGTAACGAGATCAGCCGAATCGTTGTGATGTGAACACAAGGAACCGTTCATCGTATACTATTTTCTAACAGTTTGAACTATATAGACAAGAGATATCCGGAATTAGAGATCAACCACCATATGGAGAATAAGTAATCCGAAATTCCACCTAAATGAGGACCTAAGAACGAAGTAGAATATTCACAAGAAGGTGTGATCAAAACTCTGCTCGTAAGGATAACACACAAGCGATTTGTGGGGACAGTAGAAGGTCACAGCTCTCTTGATTCACTCAAACTAAATCAAATAGTAAGACACCGAAATATTTGTGTATCGTAAAGCCAGAGAGAGAAGCACTGAAATTAGAGATCTGATGGGGTGAATGACAAATAATGAGCATGAAGTGAAGGTATGATGTCCACATGTCAGAGCAATGATATACAGCCTGTGAGAAGAACAGATACCAACTACAAAGTTAGTTGAACATCTTAATAATTAAATAATTTTCCAATGAATTACTCTGATACTCTGATTTACATATGCCTCACAAATTGAAAAGACTCCTGCTAAATCTAAGTATGAGAAGCATTTGACTCCAGTTGTTATTACTATATTAGAGAATCTGTCGAGGCGTCGAAACGTGATCACTTCACTCTCTCTCCAATCTAATGTCGTAGTGCCTTCTCAGTTTTTGCTCCTGCTCATCACCTCTCAGTCCCTGCATGTTTATTTAACCTACAATTTCAAGTGACATTCTAGTCAAACTAATTCTAACACATTTGTCACCGGATTACTCACAGATCAGTGTAATAACTGACTCACACCAGTTCGGCTGGAATATCTAACACTGACACAAAATTACTAATTTCTCAGGTAGCTCAGTCAGTAGTTTGTCACCAACGAAACTAACTTTATCTGGATTAATCGAATTAGGCCATACCGGCGTAGTCCTCTTTGAGATAGTGCCAACTTTTGGAAACTCAATTGAATTTTGAATACCATGTCTACATTCCACCCAGGTTGACTTTGTGTCCTGAAAAAATTTGTTGTGTTTGTAGGTCAGTGGAATTGACCGTCGAAATCTTATCTGAACCGTCAGAGTGATCTGTTCTTAGAAGTCATTACGGTGTCATTCTTTTCAGAGACTGTTACTCTTACCACTGGATTTGAACGACTACTTTCCTCAATGATTATGTTGGTTTGACGACTAAGATGTATTATCGCCATTTGCTTCTTTATCTGACGAAGCGGGAAATCGTGAGTGTAGCTTCGATGCAAATAACTGCCAATGCCTGAATCAATTTAATATTTGTTTTATCTCAGTTGGGTAATTTTGTTTGCGTTGCTGTGTCCACCAACGACAAGCCAACACTTCTATATACATGAACGTTGAGTATTGCACACAAAGAAGCTTCCAGAAGACATGCATTACATACATTTGTTCTGGAGAGAAGTAAGCATTGAAGAGATCAACATGTCAGACGCAGTTATGTTGCTTCGAAAGAATCATAGGTAGATGATAAATGCATTTGAAACGGTGATATAACAAGAAAGTAGCAGAATATGTTTGCTGAGAGAATCATTCGTGGGGACTTGACTGAAGAGAACCACTACCTTCCATATACACGTGTTGCAAAATCATACTACTGGCGGCCTGTTTGACATCTGGGCTACCTTTTTCGTGCATCTACATATTGCATCTAATAAGTCATGTTTTCATTCCTAATTTTAATAAAATATGATCACAAATCGCATAAAATACAGTAATTCATTCATTAAACGTTTTAAACCATATGACTTTCATGCAACTAATAATGCATCTAATAAATCTAAGAGAAAACATCATGCTGGCTGGCAGCGTGCACTTAAACAGACACCTTTATATCGTACAACCATTCCTGTTATTGTCACTTCAAACTGCCGTTCACTTCCCAACAAAATTATGCATCTCCAGTCTCTCTTATCATCTGATACTTATCACAATACGGCGATTGTTGCATTACAAGAAACATGGCTCCATGAACTCTATGATGACAATCTGGTTTCCCTAAATGGTTTTACATTGTTTAGACAAGATCGACTATGCTCCAGAAAGAAAAGAGGTGGAGGTGTTGCAACTTTCATTCATTCTCAATGGTCAACTTCAAATAATGTATGTTTTTCTTACTCTAATGACTTTATTGATTGTATAACGGTCAAATGCCGCCCGAAACATTTATCCAAATTCAAATACGTCTTCATCTCTAACATTTATGTTACTCCTGGCTGTTCTGCATCTGATCTATCTGATTTTGCTGATGAATTCACTGAATTTGCCGTTACACATCTTGAAAACTCTTTATCAGTTGTCACAGGAGATTTTAACTGCTGTGATTGTTCTTTCCTCGTATCATTAGGTCATGCCAATATTGTTAAATTCCCTACTCGACTTGATAAAACCCTTGACCTGGTGTTCATTAATGATGAGGAAATATATGAAGTACGCCGACGTGCTCCTATCATGAACTCAGATCATTGTATTATTCGGATATTACCTAAGATATACAGCAGATCTCACTTTAATATCTTCTCAAATCTGTCCAAGAGAACACAGCAAAGGTGTTACTCACAAGAAAATATGCTCAAACTAAGATGTATGCTAAATGACACTAACTGGGAACTTTTCAACGAACACAAACTGGATGATACTATTTCCAATTTGACTGACTATCTTAAATTCTGTCTTGATATATGCTGTCCAAAACAGATAATTTTCAAAAGAATGGATCGTTTTTCTTCCCCTCATCTCAAAAAACTTCGTAGAGAAAAAGAGAAGCTGTACAAGACAAAGAATAAATCTGGTCTTAAGAAGATAAACACCCAAATTAAATCTGAAATCAAGAGACTAAACAACATTTATAATCAAACAATACTATCTTGTAAAACATCAGAAAACATATGGAAGCTTTTTAGAGAAATTACTGGTTGTGGTAAGCATAATAATTTTGCCTCTTCTATTGATGTAAATACTCTCAATAGATCTTTCATCCGCCCTCCAAATGTCCTTTCTGCCTTCAATTTAACTAATAACACGACCAGTGACTTTCATCGTTTCAATACTTCTGATGTTCTTAAATGTTTGAAATCTCTTAAACCTTCCCAGAGTCTAGGCCCTGATGGTATACCTGCCATTGTTTTAAAGAAATGTGCTGATATTTTAAGTAACCCACTTACAAGCATTTTCAATACTTCTTTTTCTAATAATAATGTACCTTCTCTGTGGAAAGATATTAAAATCATCCCTGTACCCAAGTCTGGTTCTGGAGATAGTGTTAAGTTTAGACCAATTGCCATTACCTCTCCTTTCTTGAAACTGATGGAGAAATTACTCTTACAAAAACTCATTCCCTCCCTAAGCTTCTCAAATGATCCAAAGCAGTTTGCTTACAAACAGGGTAGAAGTACTTTGGATGCTGCTGCTGTGTTTCATCACAACATTGTATCCTCCTTAGACAAAGGGGCCAAGTATGTCCGTTGTACTTTCCTTGATTACACATCTGCTTTTGACTCTGTACCTAGAGGCCTTTTGTTAAACAAGCTTAGCCTTACACAAACTGAGTCCTGGGCTATCAACTGGCTGCACTCTTACTTCTCCAATAGGATGCAGTACACGGTATATAATGGTGTAGCTTCCTCTCCTTTGCTTACTGAAGCTGGTGTTCCTCAGGGTGCTGTTCTCTCGCCGTTTCTCTTTTCCTTCTTCTTACATGACTTACCTCTCTCAGACGAAATCAACTTCGTCAAATATGCAGATGACCTGACTGTTTCGCTTCCCGTTAAGTCTCAGTCAGACTGCTTCAAATTAAATAGCTTCCTGTCGGACATCAGTCAGTGGTCTAAAATAAATGGCCTAACGCTGAATCCCTCAAAATGCCAGACTGTCGACTTCTCCTTTAGGCATAAACGAGATCTACAAACACTAGTAAGCACTCATGATGTCTGTAGAATCGAGGGGACTATAATTGAAACAAAGTCTAATGCAAAATACCTCGGATTAGTTATATCTTCCGACCTTACTTGGTCATCTCATATCCAAATGATTTCCAAGAAAGTGTTTCGTCTAACCTACTACATTAAGAAACTCAGACTAACTGGAGTCCCTCAACCTCTGCTTACACAATTTGTCAACTCTCGTATCCTACCTATTCTACTTTACTGTTCCCCGTTAGTCTTTCCTGGGTTACTGAAAAAGGATTATACCATCCTGAGAAGGATGTTGAAGGTAGTTAGCAGGACTAGCGGTGTAAAACTCAGTCAGCTCGTCACAACATTAGTGGATAAGCATCTGAATACATGTGAGAAATGGTCTAAAACCATACTCTCTGACCCCCAACACCCCCTCTATTCCCAACTCTCTCCCTGCATCTCATCAGGTAGAACCAGAAATCAGTATAAAATAATATATGCTCGCACAACCAAGTATAGGAACTCAACGATACCATATTTGGCCCGTGTTCTAAGTGACAGAGACAATGTTAGACGTGAAACCTATGACTTGCTTTGTTGTTAATAACATAATTTTGGCCCTTGTTTTTTCCCCCTTACACTCTCTTATTTGTACTCTATAGTGAACAACCTTCTTAAACATACTTAGCTGCTTAAAATTATTATCATTGGCTTACATTTTTATTCTTTATTCTATTCCTTCTTTGTACATCTACTGGGTCCGACTATATTATCACTATGATTATTAAAAATTGTCCCGTCATTAACCATCATGTAACATTAGTTTTGTGGTTGTTCTTTGTTCGGCACTATTTAACTGACAATCTTGTTTGTTATTGCCACTATCACCATCTTAAAAATTTTGTATTATGCATGATTCCTCACACTGCCACTACAAACAACCGCATTAGTACTGACAAAAAAAAAACCTGAAATGTTTATCTTATGATTGCTTAGTGTTGTTCAATCAAATTAACTGATCATCTTGGCTATAAACATTTTTTTAAGAACATCTCATAATTTCCCGTATGATTATAGCTGTTACTGTTCACCACGCATACACATATCGTAGCTTCCACTAACTAATACTGAAATATTTTTTTTCATTATTTGTGTTCGTCTTCTTTTTTACTCAGTATTTTTATTTGCATTTTTTTTGGTTATTTCTGTTTCTTTTTTTTGGTTTTTATTATATTTTATTTTTTTTTATAATACTCCTTTTAAATGTACGATGAAATTAGATGCAATATTGTAGATATGTGCTGAAAATTCCACACTGTACCACAAGTACTGTTTCTGGAATAAAGCGAAATTGTTATGTTATGTTATGTTATGTTACATCTCGGTGAAACAAAGTGAATCTTAGTCAAGCATATGGGATGATGTTGCAAGGCATTTCCTCGTTGATTCAAAATGTGAATTATTGGATAATGATTGGTTTGTTAGGCTGCCGCAGCAGACGCTTCGCTTAGTGCAAATCGACTGATTCCGTATAGTCAGTATCATTACTCAATTTATTTTGACCTCATACCAAGAGTTCGCTGTCTGTCAGATGTCGATGGCATTAATATGCGTAAGGGATAGTAAGTGGTCGTAATTGAGGTGAACAGATTTAAAAGCAGATGCAGAAGTAAATGTAGAATTGTTCATTCCTCCAATATGGATCTGGTTTACGATGTGGACATGAAATCACGTCATCGGTCATCTTTTCTTCTCGCTGTTCAACCTTGTGCCAGTCTCCAGGTAATCAGAAGAGCCTCTTGCCCGCTCCAGGTCTGTCCACATGCTTTCATCTCCTCCTCTCATGACCTCCTCCAAGTCACCCTTGCACTGACGACCGACTCGCCGCTTCCCTTTCGGTTTCCACTCGAGCAATGGTTTTCTAGTGATGTCACTTGATGGGTGGTTTCCTCAGAGTATCATCAATCCATCTCCATTTCTTCCTGCCTATTTGTTTCACAATCGGTTCCTGGTTGGTTCACTCCCAGAGATCCCTGTTGCTGATCCTTTCTGACCGGCCATCTGATCTTGATTGGTATTGAGCGAAGATAGCTGTTAATGAAGGTCTGTAGTTTGTTGGAGATGCTCTTTATGACGCGCCAAGACTCTGATCCGTATAATAGCACTGATTTCACATTGCAGTTGAGAATCCGGATCTTATTTTTGTTGCTCAGTGTTGAGTGTTGACCTCCACACAGACTTGAGAGTAATGAAAGCTTGATTGCGTTTCCGATTCTAGCTTTGATATCCTCGTCAGTTCCGTTCGCCTGTAGTTGAAACGATGCTTCCCAGTTAGGTGTAGGTGAAGAAGGTTGTTACTTTCAGGTTCCTCCCATTTATGCTGGGGGATTGCTGTCTGTTGTTGTCGCTGTGGCTATTGCTGTTGGCCAGGAATCTTCATCACCTCTGTTTTATCTATGTTCACCTGAAGTCCTTCCTATCTTTGATGCTTCTTCTGCCAACTTGTTGCTTTTCACTTGCATATCTTCCAGTTTGTGGGAAATCAGACGTATATCATCGGCGAAATCCAGATCCTAAAAGTCTTTGTGTGAGTCCATTTTATGCCTGTTTCCTCATTTCCCGTTGTCTGTCAAATTATCCAGTCTACTGCAATCAGGAAGATCATTGGTGATAGTAGTCAGCCTAATCTCACTCCCGTCCTTCATACGAAAGCTTCCGTAAGATTCCTGTTGTGGATTACTTGGCACGCAGCATTCTCGTATAACTCTTGGATGAGATGTATAATTGTTGATGGGACCCCGTAGTAGCGAAGTAGTTTCCAAATCACCTCTCGATTGACTCTGTCGAAGGCCTTTTCAAAGTCTATGAAGTTGAGTGAGGTGGAGAGGTGACTGCCATTCCAAGCTTTGCTCAATGATGATCCGTAGAGTGGCGATTTGATCAATACATGATTTGTTTCTCCTGAATCCGGCCTGTTCCGGTCGAAGTTTTTCATCCAGGGCTTGTTTGATTCTCTCCAGGATGATGCGACTTAGTATCTTGCTTGGAATGGACAGGAGCATAATTCCACGCCTGTTTTTACATTGACTTAAGTCTCCTTTCTTTGGTAGTTTGAATAAGTATCCGTTCTTCCAATCCTCGGGTACTTTGCCCTCTTTCCACACCTTCTCCAGCAGTGGCGTAATCAAGTCCGCTGTTGTCTCTGGGTCCATTTTCAATGCTTCTGCTGGGATTCCATCTGGTCCTGCTGCTTTTCCGGCTTTTAGCATGTTAATTGCATTCAGGACCTCTGATTTCGTCAGGGGGTCGATGTTCACTGGTAGTTCTGCTTCCGTTGTTGGTATTGTTGGGCGCGTTGTAGGTGGCGGACGATTTAGAAGTCTTTTGAAGTGTTCAGCTCAGTGTTTTCTTTGTTCCACCTCTTTGGTGATTCACTTTCCATTGTCATCCTTGACTGGCTTAATCTGTGTCGAACTTTTGCCCGATAGGTTCCTAGTTGTTTGGTAGAGTGTGGCGAGGTCTCCATTGCCTGCAGCTTGTTCTGTTTCACTTTCCATGACTTCATAATATTTTCTTTTGTCTTCCCTGGCGCTCTTCTTCACTCTTTTGTTCAGCGCATTGTAGCTTGCATTCAACTCCTGTTTTTGTTGCTCGTCAGTGCACTGGATAATCTTTTGTTTCACTGTCCTTCTCTCTTCTATTAGTTTCCAAGTGTCCGTAGTGAGCCACTGTTTGTCCTGTCTCTTCTTTCTGCCTAGAACTTTCATGTAGGTTTGACTCCACACCGTTTTCAAGCTGTCCCAGTGCTTTTCGACGCCGACCTCTTCGCTAGTGTTGATTTGTGTCTCGGCTTCTTCCCTTATGTTTGCAATGGAGATGTCCTTTGTGGCCTGGTCCTTCAGTTTTTGAGTGTTGAACTTGGCTTTTGATCTATCTGCAGCTCCTCTGAAAGCTTTTAGTTTGATTTGGATTGTCCCTTGTACAAGATAGTGGTCTGAGCCAACGTCTGCTCCTCTTCTTACTGTTGTGTTCAGTAAGCTGCGCCTCCACTTCCTTGAGCAGTACTCAGATGAAGTCAATTTGGTTTTTGGTTTGCCCGTCTGGTGACACCCATGTAGCCTTGTGGATATCTTTGTGTTTGAATACACTACCACCAATCACTAGTTCGTTGAAGCCGCAGAAGTCGGCGAAGAGTTCTCCATTTTCATTCATTTCTCCGAGAGCTTCTCTACCCATGATGAGTCCCCTTCCTGTGTTGTCTGGTCCTAGCTTGGCGTTCATGTCTCCCATTAGTATTTTAATGTCGCCAGCTGGAGTATTGTCCATTGTTGCCTGTAGTTGTCTGTAGAATTCTTCTTTCTTTTCGAGGTCTGTGTTGTTTGTGGGTGCATAACACAGGGTGGGGTTGCTAGCCTCACGCCTGAGAAAGGAATGGTTACATTAAGATAAAGTTTAGAGAGAAGCGACCTTTCGGGTTGCTCCCCTCAAAATCGGAAAATAACGGACAAAACAATCAGAACAAAACCAGCAAAAGGAAAACAGTTCGCAGAAAAAAGGGCAAAAAGCGACAACAACAATACAATACAACAACATGCAATATAGTTCAGCACAGTTAACTAAAATGATATCTCAACCATAGACTCACTGTTTTGGAACAACTTGAACATGTAAATCCAACAATATATACAATTATAGATATGTGTTTATGTTTAAAATTTTCACGAATCCAAACAGTTAGTTATCGGTATTATATGTCAATAAGATTATATCCTCAGATTCAGTGTTCGCAAGGTAAATAATTGTAATAGTTTCCACAACCTCTTGGCATGAAATTTTACAGGAACGAGAGATTTTATGAAATTTGGGAAATGAAGCGCAGTAGTCGAAAATCGCGGCTAATCCTCTCACACATGTACTTCAGTGTAGTTAGAAACGTGTAAATATGATGTGTTTTCCCATAGTAAAATATCAGTTACCAGTTCTCTTATGTCCTAACGTTACAATGTCAGTTAGAGCGAATACCTCAGTTTTCAGTAATCCTCCGACTGATGTCAGCTCATGATCAGACTTGAGACCTCCAAGTTATCTTCAAGTCAACTTCAAAATTAAACAGAATGGTATAGAAGTATCAAAGATGATGCACTTGAAGTTTCTATAAGTTGGTGAAATTGGTGTTTGAATATTTAAGTCTTATGAATTGTATTCATGCAGTAGATCTGAGCTACAAAAATCACATACAGTTGGATGTCACTTGATACAGAATATGAAGTTAACCTGGTATCTGTAAACAACAGAGACTTTAACGAACGACCCAAGTAAACGGATGTAAGGGTCTTGATCAACAAGTAAAATGAGTCCGTAGTAAATACTGGTAATTTAAAAATACTCTTCAGTATTGGTCAAAGTCGTTGATAAAAGCTGTTACGCGAGATAACTTTGTCTTATTTGCCCCAAGAA